GCTACAGGCTGGGCACAGAGTGGCTGGAGAGCAGCCAGGCAGAAAGGGACCTGGGGGTGCTGATCGACAGGAGGCTGAACATGAGCCAGCAGTGTGCCCAGGTGGCCAAGAAGGCCAATGGCATCCTGGCCTGCATCAGGAACAGTGTGGCCAGCAGGAGCAGGGAAGTGATTCTTCCCCTGTACTCTGCATTGGTGAGGCCACACCTGCAGTGCTGTGTCCAGTTCTGGGCCCCTCAGTTCAGGAGGGATATTGAGGTGCTGGAGTGGGTCCAGAGAAGAGCAACCAGGCTGATGAAGAGACTGAAGCACAAGTCCTATGAGGAGAGGCTGAGGTGGTGGAGTCACTGTTCCTGGAGGTATTTAAGAGACTGGATGTGGCACTGCCACGGTCTAGTAGATGAGATGGTGTTAGGTCATAGGTTGGACTCGATCTCAGAGGTCTTTTCCAACCTAGTTGATTCTGTGATTCTGTTTCAAAACTGTAATACTTCAAAATAGATGCCTTCAGAGACAGAAAAAGTGTTGATTAGCAGGATGGAAAAGCTACTAAGAGACAACATGTGTTTTCCTCATATTTTTGGGGAAAAAAAGCTCATTCTGATATCAATACTTTATCTTATAGTTCATGAAGATAACAGAAAACTGAGAGCACCTAACAGAACGGCAAGGGCAGGAAAGCAGAGAAAGACCCTGCCTGTGTGTGTCTTCAGTTATTAAGTTTTCCTCTGTACAAGGAACACTGAGTTTTGGCTAACAGTATAGCAACATTTCTCTGCTGCTTACAGTCTGTGAGCTACCAGTCTTTTGTAAGGGTCTGAGAGGTAACTGTCAGCAAAATGGAGGAGGGAAACTTCACAGTGGGTATTAGATGATTAAAAATAATAGGAAAGGGAAAGAAAAAGGGGAGAAAAAATTGAGAAAAATGGGAAAGATATTAATAATCTGTGTCAGAATATAGATGAAGAAACACAGGGACTAATACTGATTCATCCCTGCTGGGGAAGACATATTGTCTATGGATGTAGAAATTTTGATATCCAACATTGATGTCAGAATTGAGGAAGGCAGCTTTGGGAAATACAAATTACTGTGGTTTTGCTAGCTGTTGACTGTTACCTAAATTACTGAAAAATAGAGATTATAGAGATTAGATATTTTAATTATTCTCTCAGGTAAAGTATTTATGGTAGAATACTGATATTTAATCTAGAAATCTTAATCCAATAAGTGAAACATAAATTTGACCCAAAGGAATCAAAAAAGCTGTCAGCTGCTGAAGAAAAAATTTACTTCAATAAATCTAATTGGTCATATCTTTCTTACACTTTCATATTTGAGTTGAGAATTTTTAATAAATAGGTTCAATCAATGCAGAACATTTCCAAAGAGCATTTCCAAAGTAAGAAAGGAATATCTTTTCTCCAGTTATGATCTCTGAAAACATGCTGTAAATTCAGGCTGTGCGAAGAATTTTCCCTCTACTTGTGTACAAAATTTAGAGATTTGAGAGTGAAAAATCTTATTTTGAACAAACCAAAGCAGATTGAAGTCATGTCTGTCATGTCACTGCAGAGCAGACTCAGAATCAATGACAATGTTTCATCTGTTTCTGCCAGTTTATTTTATTAAAAAATTCCCAGGCATACTTTTAAGATTATTTTTACCTGAGGTTGTCCTTAAAACTGTTTTGTGATTTTCTATCCAAACATTCCTGTTTGTGCCCTTTAAAACATCACTTGTACATGAGTTGTATAAGTTGTCTTCTTCTGGTGTGACTGACTGCTGCTTTGCAAGTGGTAAAGACTGTGTGAGGAGGGTTTGTGATATAACTTCTTGTGTGGGACTTCTGTGCAGCCTGACTGTCTTTGTTGCAGTCAGTCATACTTGAATCTACTGCAGACACGAGGTCATATGCTTTGTTCCATTATGTACTGTGCAGTGGCTGAGAGTACTGAGGATGCACGGATGGTGTAAGACAGCGAATGCAATCCTGTCCTCACTGGAGTCAGAAGTTTTGCTGTGGGTGTCATGGGTGTAGAACATCCTCATGCACAAAATTCCCTGTTTGCATTTCTGAACACAGACCTTTCACTTCTGATAGCAATTTTCTACTTCACTGCTTTGTGTGGTGAGATCCTGGGACTCAATATGGCAGGGTAATCATTACGAAGACGTGGAGTTAAAAGATCTCAACACCTACAAGCTACACGGTTTGTTTTAGCACTGGCACCTATCAATGTTATCAGTTCAGTGAATATATTTTGCTTTTTGGAAGTGGTGTAGGTGACAGAAATGGAAAACTGTGATAGCAGAGAAAGAGACCTTTGGGGTGGCACATGGTAGCCCAGAAATAAGTACAGGGTAAATGGCCAACTGATGTCACTTCAAATGTGTTTTCTCTGCACTTTGACAAGGATTTATCTTGACTGATCTAATATTTGTGAAATATATACCCTGTTTTGCTTATTGAGATGCTTGAATATTGTTTGGGCACCTTCTTGATGTGACTTGTTGCTTGGTTTTGTTGTTGATTTTTAATCACAAGCCATCCCTACTTTAATGACAGTCTTTCCTCTCTTGATACCATCTGCTATATGTAACAGTTGTGCCCTCACTGGCAGTTTCTGTGCTGGGCTTGTGGTGGCAGCTCAGCAACTCTGTTACTTTGTGCAAGTGTCCTGAAGGGAGGATGAAAGGTGACCAAAAGCAAGTAACGCTGAAATCTACAGTTGCAAGTGCCTTTTGTAGTCTGTGGTGGTATGGAGAAATGTTTTGTAACATTTCTTACTGCTGGGTCTTTACATGTTACTTTGTGAATGATTTTTAACACTTATAGAAAGTTCAGTTTCTGTACTGACACAAGTGCCTTAAATATATTCATTGCAATAGTTTATTCAGTCCAGCAGATATTTGAATATTGCAAATACCCATTATTCGATCCTGCAGTTTCTCTCTACAAGTGAATGCCTTCCTTTTTATATAGTCCTTTCAGGACTGCAGGATGGGTATTCCCTGTGAGATTCCTCAGTTTTAGGGAAGTACACTAAGTATGCCTCTTTGTAGACATAATACGTGAAATTCCATCAGTACCAAAGAAAAACTGCATTTTGCTGTTATATAACTGGAAATATCTGGAAGGGTTAACTTCTCAGCCTGGACACCAGAAGGTGTAATATGGCCCTTATCTTACTGAAGGCTGGGTGTGGGTGAGAGATACTGGTAAGATATCCTGAGTCTTTCCCCACAAAAATCGTAGGATATGTCACAAATTTCTAGAGAACACTAATGATTACATGGTTCTAACAAAGGGTAAACACCTTTCTAGAAAATAGTGCCAATGATTGCTCTCCATTACTCCAATAAACACTCTGTTTTCATTTGCATTTATTTTCAACAGGCTCTTCTGTCCAGTTTAACTCAGTGGAAAGTCTGACTCATTTTCTTCAATTCTGTGAGATAGTAACAGTATGTAAAGAGGACTTTCTACCATGCTCTGTAATGGAAAAGCATTGGAATTTCTACAAAAGCTGTGAAGATTTTGGATTCTAAAGACTTCTTGAATGCTATCATTTTTTTTCTTCATCATCACTTGGACGTAAATACTTGGGCTTTTAGAACTAAGTGCTTTGTTACTGTCGTTTTGATAAATTATTTGGCCAGCCCTTGGAATGAATGGAAAGATTGATTGATTAAATGAGTAACAGGGGAATACTTAGTAGCAGGTAAGGTTAACTGTCAATATTTAGTTTTGTGCTGCAAAATTAAGAAATGGGAAAGTAGATGAGGGCTGTTATACATTGGTACTTGTTGTGAATTGCATTCCAGGTTGATAACTTTGTATGGAATTCAAGTTCTAATTTAAGATTTATGCGTGATGGGGCAGCACAGAACCTGACATATCAACACAAATAGTTACTTCTCCACCTAAGTCTGGAACTGCTCTGGCTGAGCATGTGCTGTCAGAAATGGCAGCACATGTTTGTGCAATAATATAAACTGTTAGGTTAGGCAAAAAATCAAGATGGGCAGCTTTGAAAATCACCAGCAGTTTTGCTTTGTGTGGCATGGATATAACGTTTGAGAAGAGGGGCAGGTATTGAGAAAGGTTAAAAGAGGAATTTTGGCCACTGGAAGTGCCTAGGGAAACTCCATTCATGTTCCAGACAAGTCTTTCTGATGGTCAGAAAACATGCTGGTGTATGGCAGGAAATGCAGTTAGCCTGTTTGCAGAACACAAATTTTTCTATCGAATAGCATCTTAGATATGCATCCCAACCTCTGCAAGGTTTCTATTTGTTTTAATTTCACAATGTGTGAATCTGTCTTAGCAGCATATTTCTAACTTGTCTGACTGTTGTGAGAGTACCTGCTACTGCTAACTCCAGTGAATGGGATGAGAAGTACCCCTGTCAATACATAACGTCAGCAAGATATTTGGAGTGCAAAGAGCTGTTCTGCAGAGATTTGATTAGTGGCTTAGAGAGAAGCTGGTTTAGGGAAGAGGGAGGGGTCTGATACGCACACAGCTAATGCGGTGCCATAGGATGCATGAGCAATCAAAGCCTGGTGGGCTGTAAGAATAAAGAAATGCAAATGGCCTGGAAGTCAAAAAAAGGTAAAGGCTACTGAGTAACAGGTATTTTGTAAAGGTCAGTTTCTACAGGGAAGGAAAGTGGAGTGGTCTCATAACTGCAGTAGCGAAAAAAACCTGAAGGCATATTGTTTTAAAGGAAGTGTTCATTCAAATACAGCACTTTCACTGAAAAGGAGAAAATATTTGACTGTTAAAATGATCTCTGAAGTGCATGTTTGTTCAACGTTTTTTCTTGTTGCAAGATATCTAATAAAATTAATGTACAAAACATGTGAGTATTTGACAGTAATATTTCAGTCCATTATATTAACTTGATTTCCATTATTCATCATCATGGCTAGGCTTCGCGAACGAAGATTTGAGAGGGGCTCTACCCACGCTTGCTACAAGCACGCTGATGGCTAAAAAGGCCAATGCGAGATAGACAAGTCCGGTTGCAGAACGTACAGCAGAAAGACTCTCCAGGTGATATCGACAAGACGCGATTCTTTCTGCGTTGTCTTTTCTCCTCGAGAGTGATCCATTATATTAACATGATTCCATTATATTAACATGATTACATGACCTAAGGCAGTCTTCAGATAGTGACAGAAAATTGAATTGATTAAAGCTGAGCAAAGAGGTAAAAATGCAAAGTGCTACATGAAAATCACTGTCTTTTACTGATGCCTTATGTAAAATTAAGCTACCAGTGTTTTGGGTTTTTTTTCCAATTTTTATGTTATATATAAACATCTTGAGAAAGACATTAGCTTGGCAACATACGGTTTAATATGACTAGCAAATGTAGGATTCTGCTCCCCAAATCTTAAAACTGTGAATATTCCCCATTCTCCCTGCTGGAATCTTTTTCTTAGTGTGAAGATACATTAAGAGGTGGGAAAAACTTATCCTGTAATGTTTTCTCTGTTTACATTTATATTTTTTAAGTGTTCTTTTGCATAAAAATATAACTGGTTATCACAGGTCAGATAGGCAGCTATTAGTGATCTGAACTGTAGCAGAGTAATAAAGCTTTTGCTCACAAATGACAAACAGATAGTCAGTCCTCCCAACCCCTCCTGCTGTTTTCATGATTCAGTTCTTTTGTTAAGAGCCCCTTCTGCACTTCTAGCCTGTGCTAGAAGTAAGTAAGTTAGCACTTACTTTGCATGGTGCAGGCTAAAGTAAAAAGGATATAAAATGCAAATAATACTAAAAAGTCCCTAGTATTATGATGTTTTCAATAAAAAGAGAACGAGATGATGCAGTGAACAAAAGCTTCAAATTCAGATTCATATTTCCACAGATTTATTTATATATTGCTAAAATGGAGGTAAAATCAGTGGGGGAGATTAGTAGCAGTGAAGAAGAATGCAAGACTCGAAAGAATAGGAATGAGGAGGAAGATAAGCAGCTGGGAGACACACAATACAACACAAGATACATAGATTTTAAGTCCAGCAGGGACCAATGTGATAAGCTGACCTCCTGAGTAACACAGGCCAGAGGTTATGAAGCTCCGTTAAGCAAGGGAAACACATGGGAAAGAGAAAAGAAATAAAGACATGGGTGCAGAGAGAGATAAATTCACGCTGGGTAGAGGATCAGCACAAAACATTTGCACTGTCTTGGCAGGCAAAGGTGAACTGTAACCAGCAAGAGTTTTTGATGGTGGAAATGCAACTACAGGGGGGAGGGCAGGGGGAAGGGGTAAATAATGTTGCCGTAGGAATTTGGCTAAATTCCTGAAGCAGTTACAGTTATCAAGTGTTTTGTCATTATGACACAAAGATGACTTTTTTCCTGGTTTCCAAACCTGAGGAAAAAACTCTCTTTAAGTAGTCAAGAGAATGAGCAACTGCATATACAAAATTCAGGCCCTTTTTCTGGTCACGAGTAGTCAATTAACCAGTCAGATAGGAAGTTACACATAGGTGATTTGGAATTTGAAGTCTTAAGTTTCTGTCCATATCAAGAAAACAAGCATGACACAGGAAGGGAGTAAAACATTTCAGAGGAATGGGACTTGGGAACTGAATTCAAAGAACTTTCAAGTTTTTTGTATCTTTGTCTTTCTGAGTTGTGGTTGTGGGTTTGGTTTGGGTTTTTTTTTTGGAGTGTTTGTGTGTTGTTACTAAGGCTTTGGCTTTGTCTTTGGGTTAAAGTTTTACCGCTTAGACCAGTATTTCTGTAGCAGAGTAAACCCACAGGTGAGTTGTCCAGCATCTGTGTCCCTTTGATTTCACTTACGCATTTTTGTGGCGGGAGCTCAAGCACACAGTTACATGTAATTCGGTCAAAGCGGCTTAAGCAATTATCAGCCTTAAGCCGAGCTGCCACAGCTGTGCCCAGCTGCACGGTCTGCAGTACGGCAGCAGACAGATGCACTCTGCTCTGGTCATGTTTTCCACGTTTCCCACCCAGCCGGTGTACTAGGAATGCAGGCTCGCAAGCTCTGCCTGACCTTAAAACCTTAAAGTCCGGTGTAGCGGCAGGTTATCTCACATCAGTAGGGGTTTAAAGCCAGACAACAGCTTGCTGCTTCAGAACTGCAGCCATCGCGGGCGCCCCGCGTCCACCCGACCCGGGACGGCTGCAGCCGGGCCCTACTCATGGCTGTGCGCTCCCGGGGCAGCCGCGGAGAAGGCGAGGAGCCCAGGCCGGGGGCTCCTCCCCAGCGCAGTACTGTCTTGCCGGCCGCAGTGTTTGCAAGCCCACAGCGCAGCCCGGCGCTTCCCCCGCTCCGCCCCCGCGGAGCTGGCGCCGCGCTCGCCGGAGGAGCGGTGGGGAGGCTCCTCCCGCACCCAGGTGCCGGCGGGGAGCTCGCCGTCTCCTTCTCCTGCCCGCCAGGTTGCGGGGGCGGGTGGAGGCCCTTCCTTTTTTTCCTCTACGTCAAGGAGCAAAATGCTGCGCTGCGCACATGTCCGCGCAAACCCCGCGCACACAGCGCGCCCCTCCGAGCGGGGACGGCCGCGATCCGCCCCGGGGAGGGCGCGGCCGGCGGGCACGTCCCGAGGCAGCGGCAGCGAGGAGTCCGGGTCGACCGACCCGCGGAGCTCAGCCCGAACTTGTTGCGCGGAGCGGCGCGCTGGGGCCACAACAGCTCCCTTTTTCCTCCCGACCTCTTCGCCGTAGGCGCAAACTTGGAGGCTCGGGGGCTGTAGCGGAGTTTGGAGGAGAAGAAGGAGAAGGAGGAGGGAAGGGCAGCAGCAGCTCCGTGGCTCCGCGGAAGCGCAGCGGGGCGGTGCTGTGCGGGGGCGAGAGGGCCGGGCCGGGCTGGGCCGGGCCGGGCGCGGCTCTGGAGGCGGCCGAAACAGCAGGAGGAGGAGCAGGGTCGGTGTCGGCGGCGCAGCGGGAAAGCTCTGGTAAGAAGGCGTCGTGTGTCTTAAAAGTTAGTTAAGGGGTGATTTTGAATCTCGGAGCAGACTATCGCAGAGGTTGCCAAGGGGCGTCTGGATCCGGGCGCGCACCTGGAGGCAGCCCGGCAGGCAGGCGGCTGCCCAGGTGTTGCAGCCGCATAAGCTGCTCTCGTGGAGCAACAGTTACACCAACTTACTGTGATTTGATAACAGAAATAGGGGTTGTTGCAGAAATAGGGGTTGTTGTGATGTTAACCTTTTTTTCGTCTCTCAGTAAGTTGCTGAAAACGTACGTGTTAGTCTGTAGCTGTGTTTAAATGTGCCAAGTGCACTTAGTCATTTCTTTAGTATGGAAAGAGTCTCTTTTTCCTTGTGAGGAAACAAAAAGTAACAATATCAAGAATCTGTCACAATTTTATTTTTTTTTTCCCCTGGAAGACAGACAGTAGCAGCTTCTCCCTCATTATGGGGCAGACAGATTTATTAATCTCAGAGTAAGATTTGAAGAAGGAGACCTTAAGGGGAACCTCCACTGTGACGCATGTGCTCCCCTGTGAGCATCTACTCCACTGAACATCCTCTAACTCATTCCACAGACCTAGTCTGTAAAGCAGTCCATTTCATTTTGAGTGAGGCACTTGTCCTTAATAGTAACATAGTGGAGGCAGTGAACAGAAAAGAGTTGCTTGCCCTCTTTCAGACTAGGAACTACAACAGTCAAATGACACTGGAGGGCAAAATATTGGAAGCAAGTATGAGAAAATGGGTTTTTACACAATGGTCAAGTCAGTTCTAGAGTGTTTCCTCCCCACCCCCATACTCCCTAGTCTCCGGATGTCAGAAAATTTAAGTAGGTTAAAAAATGATTGGATGGAAGAACCCAAAATTTCATGAGAAATGGACAGGTGTAATCCTTGTCTTTGGCAACTATGGAGCTATAAGAAAATGAAAGTGGAAAGAATGTGTGGAAAAGGTGTTAAAGAGTTCTGTTTCCAAGTGTCTGAGGCAACATCCTGGGCTGGATGGGTTTGTTCTTTCATGCATGCAGCTTTTCTGAGAAGGTCATAGAAAGGGAAGTGAAATACTACTATGTTTGTGCAGCTGTGGTTTCTGGTTTTATACATCTGATACTGCTGGGGTTTGGTCCATTTCTTGTGTCTTTTTCTTTATACTGCCCAGCTGTAAAGGCATTTAAAGATTACCAACAAACTTTGCTAATGGTTTTTGAAACATGTGTCATATAAATGAGCAATTCTTAAGGACAGTAACTTTTTGAAAAGCAGTAATGGTGATAAGGAATACATTCAGGCTTCAGTTACTTGTGTTGGCAATACCAGCAATTGTGCTGGTATTACAGTGGGGATGCAAGAAAGTAGTCCAGGCACTGAAAAC